TCCAAATTTGTATTTCAAAACCTATATTATTACTTTTATAATAACCCTAAACCTATAAGATTCAATTTTTATTTGCAATTTTTGATTTTGTATATTTGAATAATAAACCTTATCTTTTAAGATAATGATATTAAATAAATACATTTTATTAATAAGCAATATATAATGACTAAGAACATAAAAATTTGTTGTTTTCAATTATTTCTTGGGTAGAACACATTTTTACACCAAATAAATTCTAAATATATATATAAAGTGGATTTTAGATTTCTACTAAGATAGCACCTAAAATTTCTACAATGATAGCACATAAAACGTTTATGACCAATTAATTAAATCCAAATTTGTATTTTTAAAACTATATTGTTACTCTTATAATTACCCTAAACCTAATTGGTTGAATTGTTTATATTTATTTTATTTTTTGATAGAAAATGTTTTTTTTTAACTTTATGTTTTAACCCAAAATATCCTATAAAAAGTAACGGAAAGAGTATAAGATTCAATATATATTTGCATTATTTCATTTTGTATATTTGAGTCATAAAACATTTTTTTGAAGATCATGATATTGAATAAATATATTTTATTAATAAGTGATATATAGTGACTAAAAATTAAAAATTTGTTGGTTTCAAATTTTTCACGGGTGAAACATATTTCTACACAAAATAATTGTAAAATTTATATATATAAACGAATTTTGGATTCTGTATAATAATTTTCTGAATAACTATAGATGATTTTTGTAATTAAAAAAAACTATAGATGATTTTTTAACCTAAAACTATATTTATTTTACTCGTTAATCATATTATCCCGCGTGTAACGCGGATAATTATCTATTTCACTTTATAAGATTAGCTAAAAACTAACAAGAAATATATATAATATTTAAAAAATATAATGTAAATCAAGCCACATATTATTTTATTTTTGTAAAACTCTCAATACTCATAAACTTTGAAAGTATCTTAAAGTTGTTTTGACAACGGCTGAATTTTGCATTTTAAATCAGGTACGAGCCAAGCCAAGTATCGAATACAGTCCAAATAATTTTGCCAACCTCTAAAATCAAGGATTTATTTTTCATTCAAAGACATTAGATCAGTAAACATACAGGAAAACATAACACGACTTATTCCACATCAATCCTCTTAATACAATAATAATATGCTGATCAAACTCAAGTTATTTAATTAATCAAGTGACAGTTCCTCCTGATCTCACCATTAGCACCAGTAAGAGGTTGAATGTTCCCCATGTTTACCATCGACTTTGCGAATTGTTCGAAGAAAAGGCTCTCGTCTTCCGCATAAGCTCTCACCAATTCATTAGTCTTGCCTACGTTTCCAGTAAGAAGCACTTGATCTGATGTCAATAAACCTTTGCCCCATAGAATGAGCTTGAAGTAAGTGTTGTCGAATCTAGCAGGAGAGGCGAAGTCTAGAGGGGAAATGTTGTTATCACCGCCCGTTGGTGGACAAATCGACCTTAGACCATAGTAGTAAGACCTCTCTAGTGTCTCGTCTGGTTGGTTATTACCGTGTTGATTGTACAGCCTCTGTTTAAACGTTGTGCACCTCGCTACTCCAATCGTATGCCCTCCTGCAAACACACACAAATCCCAGTTCAGTCTTTTAACTTCCGGCTTCAAAAGTAAGTTCTGATTTCGGTTTGGTTTTATGCTCACCTGATAGGGAGACAAGGTCTTCTTCGTTCAAACCTTTGCGTTGGAACATATTTAAGAGATTTTGAATGGTCGAGTTGGGTGCAGGAATGTTTGTATTTGCTCCATTGAGACTCGCGGTCCTCGAGTCTCTCCTCCCTAGTGGAAGCTCCCATGATGGTCCACCGCTCTGTAAAGAAACCACCAAATTCAGAAATCTGAGCAATTTGTAACTTGTAAAGAGTCTTGATAGTTACTCAAGTTATCTTTATTTACCAGGACAGTTGAGCCACGAGCAGCAAGAGCTAGAACGTCGGCGCAGGAGACAACTTGAGGGCAAACTTGCTCCAGTCTGGCTTTGATCTCGTCTATTACTTCAAACCCTTTAATGGAGTTCTTGTTTGGTATTGCATTCTTTTCACTTGTTATGAAAGCACTGTCATCTAACAAGATTGATGCATCACATCCCTGTTTACACGCATAGTGGTAAGTGTTGAGTTTATGAGGCGTTTAAGGAAAACAGAACAGGTCAGATTTTCATTTGCGAGAACCTGGACGAAGCAGTCGTGGAAATGAAGCCTAAGTAAAGATGCAGCCATTCTCGGGTTTCGAGCTATGGTTTTTTCGAGCACCGTCATGACAATCTCATCAGCTTGTGGGCAAGAGAATTGGTAGAATTGTGGGTAAAGACTTGAGGTAAACGTTCTTCCCATAGGAACATTACTTCGCCATCCGAATCCTAGACCTGGATGAG